CCCCAAAACCCCAAAACCCCAAAACCCCAAAACCCCATAGCTCCTTATATGCTGTTATCTTGAATTATAAGAAATAGAATGAAACTTAAATAAAAAAGTAAAGAGATAGATTTTAATGAATATATTTTGCAATTTTCTATGTCTATCCTCATTCATTGCTGACAGTTGGCTTAATCAGAACATGCAACTTTCATAAGTGGGTATCATATATTTAATGTTAATGTAGGCATCTTCACCTCCATGTCTCTCAAATAACTCCAATGTTTCCTATATTAACTCTCCAACATTGTCGCATTTCTTTTATCCATAGTCTATTTTATCCCCAATATTGACTAAAAGTTATAATTAATTGGTGCTAGGTTATAATTGTGCCATAAATTTTGAGAATTTATCAATACTTACTATCTCTATGCTTAAGTAAATTCATAACTGGCAATATCTGTCTATAATAGGGAACCAAACTTTCTGCTACAGCATCTGAAACTTTTACCAAAGCCTATAGCTTCTTTAATGTTTTCACAACAATCTCATGATTTTTAGTACCTAATGCCTCTTTAATAGGTATAATCAACTAAGGTAGCACTGGTAAAATCTTCTCTCTGCCTAACTAAATTAGGGCATTCAGACCTTAATCAGCTAAGAATTTATATGGATCATTCGATTCTCTTAGTCCATGGAAAAATATAGGCAGGTAGTGATGATAATCTAGCAAATCAACTTCTACTTTCCAGGCTATCTATGTTTTTTTAGATTTAATTGGTTATTTATTACCTTTCTTTAAGCACCAATGAAGTCTACAACAATAGGTAAATCTCCTCTGTCATAGCATTTCTTGAAGATAGTAGTTGGAATTACTCTAAAAATGTAAAATAATGATTGTTTTACGCTTATGCAGCAAAAATGCCAGCCTTTGGTTTCTTGGGCACAGCTTGAGCCTTTTTAGCTGCGATACTTGATGAGTTACCACCCATTCCTGCACATTTAGTTATAATTTTGTGGCCTTTAACGGATGTGATTCCGAATCTGTTTCCAGTTGATTCCATTAAACTTTATATTTTATTCTTCAAATTCCATTCAAATTAGTAACTCTTAATTTTTGCATAATGGGGTTTTGGGGTTTTGGGG